TCTGTTGCTGCCGTTTCTCTGCTGCTACTTCTCACCATCTTGTGCCATTTCCAGCGTTACAGCTCTCTGTCTCAGAGCAGGGACGCCACATCCAAAGGTTGTGCTCTGCTTTTGCCTCTTCTTGATTGTAGTGACATGTCCCATTTCCACCTCTGGGATGGCTGATTTTAAGTCTAGCAGGATGGCAAAACTGACTGTCATGGATTGAATTGTGTTCCCCCAAAATATCTGTCAACTTGGCTGGGTTATGATTCCCAGCATTGTATAATTGTGTACCATTTTGTAATCTGATGTGATTTCCTTATGCGTTATAAATTCAATCACTATGAACTAATCAGATGGATTAACGGCAGTTATACTGATGAGGTATACAAGATTGTATAGTGTCTTAAGCCAATCTCTTTTGAGATATAAAAGAGAGAAGCGAGCAGAGACACATGGGAACATCATACCACCAAGAAAGCAATGCTGGGAGCAGAGCATGTCCTTTGGATCTGAAGTTCCTGTGCTGAGATGCTCCCAGGCCAAAGGAAGACTGATGCATCACAAGGACCTTCCCCCAGAACTGACAGAAAGAGAAAGACTTCTCCTGGAGCTGATGCCCTGAATTTGGACTTGTAGCCTACTGGACTGTGAGAGAATAAACTTCCCTTTGTTAAAGCCATCCACTTGTGGTACTTCTGTTATAGCAGCACTAGATGACGAAGACACTGACCAATCCCCTTGTTAGTGTTCCATACACCTTATTTGCATGTCCCACTCCCACAAGGGTGTCATACACCTTATTTGCATTATTTGCAGGCTTTCCAACCCCCTTGGTATGCCACAAGCACCTTATTTGCATATTCTCACCCAATCATTTGGTGGGAGTTACAAAACCATGGTGAGAAAGGCCATATAAAATTGATGCATTGCACTGAATTTTCTCAGCATTTGGTGCTATTGCCACCATCAGTATCATTTCTCTCCAATGGTCTAGAGAACCTAGCTTCACTTCTGGAATTCTACCAGGGCCCAAGTTCACTCCAGCCTCGTCTCTTGCTCTACATTTTTTGCCAGAGTAAACTCTTCTGTTAAGGCCTGTACTAGGACTGGGGAACATGGAAAAGAATAGATGCTGATCCAAGGGCTCCTGTTGTCCTCTTTTACAAAATAACTTTTCCCAGTTTCTAGATTGACAAACTGAGGGCCATAGAAGAACTCTCCCATAAGTCTCCTCAACCTACAAAACACTAACTGTCATATTTGCAAATTTCCTCAATTGCTATGGTCAGAAAAGATCTCCCTTTATCTACATTCCAGTCACTTTAATGATTTGCCCTTCCCTATAAATCTGTCCATCAATGCACAAGAGGAAAAGAGTGGTGGGAAGTTGGTACTGACAAAATTTTTTCCAAACTGATCCTCCACACTTCCATCTGTCTCCAACCTCCTCATCCTCCCAAGTCCTTTTGCTCTGGGGAACTAATTAATGGGCCTGTCTGGCTCTTGACACTTATGTTTTCAATCAGGCCATGGCATACCTCTTCCCTCCTGACATAGTAGTCGTTTAGGATGACACTCATGGTAACTTCTTTGTCTTCACCCTTCTGTGTGTTGTCCCAAAGAGCAGCCTGTCCAGATGTGACCTGGGATCCAAACTAACCCCTGTCCCTAACAGGTCAGAGAAGACTGGGCACCCTCAACCTGGGAATCATCATTGATGAGAAAGTAGAGTCTGGAGCCTGCACTGGGCAGACTTGGGAATGAGTCAATGCTTTTCTTCATTAGCCTCTTAGACATAGCGGTTGGGACAGGAAGAGCTCTTAAAGAGTGTCATGAATTGAATTGTGTCCCCCAAAAAATATTGGTTATAAATCTTAACCCTTATACTTGTGGATGTAATCCCATTTGGGAATAGGGTCTTCTTTGTTATGTTAATGATGCAATATCAGTGTAGGCTACGTTCTAAGCTAATCACTTGTGAGACATAAAAGGAACAGGTTAAGCACAGAAGTGAGCAGGCACAAATGGAGATCTCTAAGAAACACTGAGAAGAACACTAGAGAAGCTGAGACAAGGATTTTCCCCCAGAACGGATGGAGAAAGCCTTCTCTTAGAGCCTGTGCCCTGAATTCCGACTTCTAGCCTCCTATAAGAAAATAAATTTCTGTTTCTTAAAGCCACCCACTTGTGGTATTTCTGTTATAGCAGCATTAGATAACTAAGACAAAGAGTATTCGGTCCATCTCCCTCACTTTACTGATGAGAACAATGAGGTCCAGAGAAGGAAAGTGTCTTGCCCAAGATCACATAGTAGCTTAGGTAGGTCTAAATCCAGGTCTCATCTCTCCCTTCTTAACATAGGTCTTCAGAGAGAAATAAGCTTTTGTTATCTGAGCCCCTCAATTTGTCATAGACCTTGGCTTCCTGGGAAATAGCCCTCTCCTGTATTATTCCTCTCTCTTCCTCTCATCAAAATTCTTCAGTACTCTGCTGTTCTGGAGAAAAATGGTTGGTGAACAAATTCGTGCAATGGAGTTAATGATCCACCTACCTCAGTATATCACTCCTCCCAAGGATATTTACATTTCTAAAAGGTCACTAGAGATGACAATGCTTTAACACAAAGACATGAATTCTCCAATGAAACTTTTAGGCTACATTGGTGATTCTGGAGCTTGGACCCGGCTGAGACTCCTCAAATTAGAGCTTCTAGAACTCAGTCACTCTCTTTTCTTCCTCCTCTGTATTTGCCTTCCCTTCTAAGCGTCCTCCTTCTTGGGTGTTCGGCAGCTGATTGTAGTGTTGGCTGGATGGTCAGTTCATGTGGCAGTGGCTGCCAGAAATACACTTTATATCAAGTTGTCTCTTTCAAAGTTTTCTCCTTTCTCATGGGCATATTTCACTTTTCAATAAATAGCATGCCCGTGTATTTGTAACCATTTTCTTGCAGAAACATTTCCTTGTATTTTCTTTTTTGTTTATTCCTTTCCCAGCGGATTAATAGAAAGAGACTCCTATTTCTGTTTTGGTCTAGTGGCCCTAGAAATGCCCTCCCTGACTCTGTGGGTAGTGCTTTTTATAAGTCTTCTTAAATATTTTCTCTGGTACTTTCATCTCAGTAACATAGCTGGTGGTGGAATCTGGGGCCTGAGAAAATTGAGAGAAGTAGCCTGCTGCAGTGCAGAGCTTCCGGACCATTTTCACCACGTGGCAAACAGAGAAAACCATATGCGTACTGATATGAAAAAATAAGCCTGCTCGCAGCCCAACCCTGCCATGGTAGGGCTGAGGAAGACTCAGTGGCTCAGCCCACCTGTAATTCTGTCAAGGCACATTGGTGGCCTCTGCACACCATTTGGGAAGCTCTAGTGTTATGGAAAGTGTGGAGAATTTAGAATCAGGCAGATCTGGTTTCATATTCCACTCCATCATTTACTAACAATGTAGCCTTCCACAAGTCGTTTTAACTGCTCTGACACTACGTTTCTTCAGGTGTAAATGAGGAGGATGGTTTTTACCTTCTGGAATTGTGGTAAGAATTAGAGATAACAAAAGTCAAGTACCCCCTCCGTAGGAAGTATTCATGCGCTTACATTAAAAACCTATTGCGGTTGAGTTGATTGCAACTCATAGTGGCAGTAGCTATTGCTTTTGGTTTCTTAGTGTATTAACTATATATAGCTCCATGTTTTTCTTTCTAATGATATTTTTAAAGCATTGAGGTCAGCTCATTGTTGTCTTATCAGTGGGAAAATGACTAAAAATCATATAAGGGCTAAAGAAGGATTTGGAGGGGATAGGGTAGAAGCAGCAGCAAAAGCATGTGTGGTTATTGAAGGTTTCTGAGGACTACAGAGTAAGAACGAGATTTTACAATGTTATTTCTTGAGTAAGAGGTCCCAGGAGAGGGCTTTAAAGTCCCCAAAAGGAACCCCACAGCATCTCATGTTCTGGAGGTATTGAGGGTGAACGCATGATGACAGAAAGCAAGAAACGGAAGCTAGCATTCATTGGACACCCACAGTGCACCAGGCACTTTCACAGCACACATATTCTCTTTTAATTTTCCAGACAACCTTGAGTGCAGTGGTTCTCAGCTGGGGGTGATTTTGCCTCCGAAGGAATACTTGCTAATGTCTGGAGACATTTTTGTTGTGTGGGAAGATGCTACTGGCATCTATGGGTAGAGGCCAGGGATGCTGCTGAACTCCTACAATGCACAGGACAGCTCCCACAACAGGAGTTACAGGTCCCAAAATGTTAATAGTGCAGTGGTTGAGAAACTCTGCACCTGAAGCTGTTTGATAGGCACGATCATCTTCAATTTTACAGATGAGGAACCTGAATCTCTGAGAAGTTACCTGGCATTGCAACCCAGACCTGTACAGTTCCCACACCCATGTTCTTTCACTATGCCACAGTGATAGGAATGATGGTGGCAAAAATGACCAAAGTAAAGAACCAAAGGGGAGGAGGGAGGCACAAATTGGTGCTTTATTTTTTATTCAGTCATTGAGTAAAGAAGCAGAATAATGAGGATGAGTGTGGTCATCCTATTTCCACACTGATATATCTCCCTGTTTTTGTTCCACAATCCAAAAGTGAGTCAAAAAAAGAGTGCTCAATTTCAGGAGAGGCCCAGATTTCAGTGTCTAGGCCTCCAAATGGAACTGGAAGTGTGAGGAACTTGCCTGCACACTCTCCTCCATCCTTTTTTGTAGAGAGGATAGCATCTGACATGTGAGATTCTGAGCTGAGGTTGGGGACCATTCTCTTCCTTTCCTCAGAGCCCCAGCCAGCTTGTGGCACCACAGGAAGAGGAGTGACTTGTTTCCCAGTTTCTGAACTTTCTGTGGATTTGGAGTTGGGTTGAGCCAGATTAACTCTGGGAAGTCCTGAATCTTCTGGGAGGGAATAGTTGAAAGGAAAGAGGGTGGGGAGGGAGGGGCCTATGATAAAACAGACCATTTCTTCTCACTTCCTCTTTTGAACTCCAAAATTTGTATGTTCTCTGAGAGAAGAATCTGTCAAGCTTCGAAAGCAGCCTGTGCCCACTGTGCTGATTGTGAGCTGTTGGAGAAGCCTGCTCCAGCAAGTGATGGGAATTGCCTCGTTCCTACCCTTCTTAGTTGGTGAGAGTGACCGGATTGATCGCACATTCTCCTGCCGTTTGGGCCACATGGTACTGTGGACAGTTCTGCTATTCCTGGGTAAGTCAGCTCCCTGCCTCCTGGAGAGCAAGGTGGAACAGGAACAGAGGCAGGTGCACTTTCCTAGCTCAGGGTGCTGCCACCTAACTGGGGCTGAGCTTGGGCTCGGTTGAGGGGTGGCATGCGAAGTGATAGCAGGCTGATGAGCAACTCTGACAACCCAGCTGGCCTTGGCAAATCATGAAATTAGCAGAGTTTTTTTGTGGTTGTTGTTTTTCTCGGCGTCTTTTACTTAATCTCTGTGGGTACCCAGGGACGTGATGATCTGCCACTTCCCATATTGGATCCTGCTCTGAGGAAAGTCTAGTGACCTGGACTTGAATGACTAATGAGTGGCCAGAGTGTTTCCATGTCTTAGAAATTTGTGATTCACATGGGACCAAATCTTAGATAGGAGAGACACGCTGTAGACAAGGGGAAGTTTTTTTAAATGAGGAGGTGGGCTGGAGAGAGGGCAGTGGTCATTCTCTGTGCCTCTGAAACCACTTCCTGCCACAGAAGCCTGTTTTCTTTATATGTAAGAAGATTCCCCTGGGCAGGGTTATCCAGGGAACTGGAGTTCAGAGAATATACACACCTGGACAATTCTGGAATCCTAGATTGTGGGACCAGAGAAATCATCCATGCCTGTTTTCACAGCACAGACCCTGGGTAGGTTCTGGTTCTGATCAGAGAGAAAGCTGGGCTTTTAGGCGTAGATGGAGGGTTATTTTCTGACCACGTTCTGAGCTGTGGGCCAGGGGCGAGGGACTGATGACACTGGGTTGGAGGAAGAGTCCAGGGAAGTCCACAGCCTTATTGCCAGGACTGTCTCTCCAAACTCAATTCTTGGGGCTTTCACCTTCACATCTACCTTGGGATGGCCCCAGGGAAGACTTGTAGTCATTCCCCCAAAGTATGTGCTATGACTGATAGTGAAATATGATCAGTTCTGGGATCCCTCAGCCTCAGTACTGGATGATATTGGGTAGAAAGTGGAAGTAAGGAAGAGAGTGTATTCCCCTATGTACAAGATGGAATGGATTAAGGTAGCATAGAAAGTAAAGTGAGCACCAAACTACCTCATTTTTCATGTGGAGAAGCTCAGGCCTGGAGAGGCAAAGGGTTTCTCCATCTTTGCTAACAGTGCCATCAATGTGCCAGTCACCTAGGCAAGACTCTTGGGAGGGACCTTTGGTATTTTCTTCCACTTGCCCTCTTGTTAAGTCACCAAATATCTAACACCTTCTGATCAGGTCTTGATCACTCCTATTTCTTTTCCCTCAAATCCTTTCTGCTCACATCTTCCAGCATAGCTATGACTAAGTCACTGCACTTCATAAATGCCTTGAGTGCTGCTCCACTCCTAATGAACAAAGCCTCAATTCTACCCTTCTAACCATGTTCCCCATTGTGCCCAAATGGACGTTCTTCTATAGCCAGGCAATGTGTAAACTGCACTTCCTTGCTTTCAACACCTTTGCTCCTGCTGATTCTTCAAACTGTTTTGTTTAAACCTTATATAAATTCTTCTACGTGCCAGGCACTGTCTAGGACTTGGGGATATATCAAGACACACAGGACAGACAGCCTTTCTTGACCTCAGGGACAAGGTCTTTGTATCTTCCACAATGACAACATTGGGTGTGAACTTAGTTGTATTCACTACTATTTGTTGAATGTGGGGTGAATAAATTATTATTGGTGACTTCTTTCTCTTTTACTCATCTCTTTCTTTTCCTCCTCCTCTTTCTACTTCTTCTTTACTTGCTCTCCTCCTGCACTGTCTGCTTGCCAGTCCTACATACTCAGGGTTTAATCTATCACTTCTTTGTCAACAATTCCCAAACCTATCTCTCTTGCTCATTCTGTCAAGTACAATGTCATATTTCCACTTGTTGGTTGGACACTTCCAAATTGATTTGCCAGTTCAGAAACAAAACATGTTCAAAATTCAGCTCATCTTCCCCTTACAAATTTTCATCTCCTCCTAACATTTAAAATTGTGTGAATACAGCTACCTTTTTTCTAGTCAACCACTTATATCACCTCACATCTCATCAAGTGCCATTTCTCTCACATCCATGTCCTCTTCTTCACTTCCTATTTCCAGTACAACTTGGGGCTTTCTTATCTCCCACCTAGATTCATCCAGAGAATGATTAATAGAGCATCGGTAAATAAAAGTAATGTGGCTACTGCCCTCTTTGAGCTTACATTCTAGTGAGGGAAATAGACAATAAACAAACAAAAAAGGCCTATGAAAATGCAAGCAGGGTATCGTGATCAGAATAGTTGTTGAAGAGGAGATGAGGGGCGCAGCCTCCATAAACAGGATGTATGGGAAGAGTTTTCTCAGGCGATAACATTTAAGCTGAGACCTTAAGCATGATAAAGAGTTAGTCATTTGAAGATCCAAAGGAAGCATGTTTAGGATAGAGGGATCTGCATACCTAAAAGCCCCAAGTTTAAAGAATTTAAAGAAGGCCAGTGTTACCTGAGCCCAGTGGGGAAGAGGAACTGGAGGGAGGCTGGAAAAGTGAGCAGGGAGCAGGTCAGGTCCCTTGTAGACTTTTACATTTTATTTTAAGGGCAGTGGAAGGCCATTGAAGGATTTTAATCAAGATAGTGACGTTAACTGATTTGATTTTTTTTTAAAGAACTCCAGCTTCTCTGTAGAAAATGGTTTATAGGAAGAACTAGAGAAGCAAGAAAACAAGTTAGGAGATGGTTGCACTAGTACAAGAGAAAGCTGATGATGACCTGAGCCAGTGGTGGCCATGGAGATGGAGAGAAGTCGATGGATTCAAGATCTGAGTTGGAAGTAGAATCAACTGGATTTGCTGGTGTGCAGAGAGATGAGGTTGGGAAAGGGAAGAAGAAAGATGACTCACAGGTTTTGGGCATGAACAACTGGGTAGATATGAAAATATACACTGATATGGAGAAGTTGTTGTGTGCCCTTGAGTCAATTCTGACTGGGAGAGAAATAGAATGTACCTACTTAACTTGGCAACACAGAGGTCATGGGTAATTTTGACAAAAAAAAAAAAGAAAAAAATTTCAGCGGACTGGTGAAGGCAGAGTCCAAATCGGAGAGCACTAAGTAGTGAACGGAAGTAGAGGAAATGAGGACAGATTATGCAGGGGGATAAAAAGAGAGAGAGAGAGAGAGAGAGAGAGAAATTTGGTTGTGAAAGGGAGCAGAGAAATGGGGCAGTAGCTGGAAGGATATGGGGTGGGGGGAGTGTCAAGGGAGGGTTTTTCTTTAATGAAGACCCTGAAATGTGTTTGTGTTGATGAGAAAGAGCCAACAGAGAAGGAGAAATTGATGCAGAAGAGAAAGGGAGTAACTGAAAGAGGGAAATACTTGAGAGGCTGAGAAAGAATGAGATTCAGGGTACATGCATAGAGACCGACTGTAGATAGGAGGCGAAGTACTTTCTCCATTGAAAAGTTGGGAAGGAGAACATGGGTAAAGATGCAGGTTGGTTAGTAGATTTAGTTGGGGGAAGGTGTGAGATATCCTGTCTGATTGCTTTTGTTTTCTCAGTGAAGTGCGAAGGAAGGTACCAGCTGAGAGAGAGAGGGGACAGGAGGCAGAGGATGAGACAGGAGGGTTTGGGGAATATTTATTAATTTCCTAGGGCTGCCGAAACAGATTACCACAGGCTAGATAATTCTCTCACAGTTCTGGAGGCTAGAAGTCCAAAATTAAAGTGTTAGCAAGTTTTGTTCCTTTTTGGAGGCGCTGAGAAAGAATCCATTCCATGCTCTCTCCTAGCTTTTAGTGGCTGCCAGCAATCATTGGCAGTCCTTTGCTTGTAGCTTCCTCACTCCAATCTCTGCCTCTGTTGTCACATGACATTCCCCCTGTGTCTCTGTCTGTGCCCTGTGTCTCTTCCCTTTTTATCAGGTCACCAATCATCAGATTAGGGCCCACCCTACTCCAGTATGACCTCATCCCTATTTCTAAGTAAGGTCATAGTCTGAGGTTTCGGGTGGACATTAATATTGTGGGGACACTACTCGACCTGGTAAAGGGAGTCACAAGGAAAAGATGAGTGTCACTACTGAGAATAGCAGAGCAAATTTATGAGAGAAAACTGTCAGAATCATGGTTCATGTTGAGTGTCCTTTTGACTTTGATGATCGTAATTTTACAGAGACACCAATCTACCTGCTTGTATGGTAATTTCAGTAACACTCAGCTGAACAAATACAGGCGCGGAGAATAAGGTAAATTTGATGGAGAGAAGGGCAAGGGAATTAAGAGAATTTTCAAGGAGGTAATTATAATAATTAATCAGAGAATCCAAACCAGATGAGGATGGAGGTGAAGGCAGATGTGGGTTGAAAGATAGACTGTGCTTAATTTATTTATTTTTTGGTTGTTGTTGAGAATACACAGCAAAACATATACCAATTCAATTGTTTCTGCATGAACAATTCAGTGACACTGATTGCATCTTTTGAGTTGTGCAACCATTCTCACCCACATTTTCTGAGTTGTTCCTCCCTCATTAACATAAACTCACTCCCCCCTAAGGTTCCTATCTAATCTTTTGAGTTGTTGTTGTTACTTGAATCCCATCTAGATAGTTCTTAAAAGAGTATCATGTTCAAGGCAGACATTCTTTACTAGTTAAGCTAAACTATTATTTGGTTTTAAGAAGACTTCAGGAGATATTTTTGGTTTAAGGTTTAAAGATTATCTCAGGGCAATAGTTTTGGGGTTTCATCTAGCCTCCATGGCCCCTAGAAAGTCTGGAGCCCATGAGAATTTGAAATTCTGTTCTGCATTTTCTCCCTTTTGATCAAAGATTCTTCTGTCAAGTACAATGTCTTTGATCAAAATGTTCAGTAATGGTAGCCAGGCACCATTCAGTTCTTCTGGTATCACGGCAAAGGAGGCAGTTTTTCATGGAGGTAATTAGCCACACATTCTATATCCTCCTCCTATTTTTGACTATCCTTCCTCTGTTGATCCAGGTGAATAGAGACCAATTGTTCTGCTTTGGATGGCTGCTTGCTAGCTTTTAACACTTCAGGCTCTATGCAACAAATTAGGAGGTAGAACAGAAGCACTAAACACATTATTAGGCCAATTAACTGGGATGCCTCATGAAACCATGACCCTAAACTTCCAAACCAAGGAACCAAATCCCATGAGGTGTTTGGTTGTACATAAGTGGCTTCAGCAGCTACTCTTTTTTTTTTTTTTTGTCATTGTTGTAAATATATATATCACACAACTTTGCCAATTCAACTTTTTTACAGGTGTACAATTTATTGACAGCACTTACAACAATAGATTGTGTAACCCTACGCTTAATCAATGCAATTTTTCTATTACTGTTAACCCCCCTCTCCCTCCCTCCCACCCTTGGTAACCACTAATAAATTATGGTCTTCATAAATTTGCTTTTTATTGCCTTTTTATATAAGTGAGGTCATACAATATTTGTCCTTTTGTGATTGACTTATTTCACAGCATAATGTTTTCAAGCTCCATCCATATTGTAGCATGTATCAAGACTTCGTTTCTTCTCCTGGCAGAGTAGTATTCCACTATATGTATGTATCAAATTTTGTTTATCCATTCATCTGTTGATAAGCATTTAAGTTATTTCCACTTTTTGGCTATTGTGCACAGTACTGCAATGAACATTGACATACAAGTCTCTGTTTGAGTCTCTGCTTTCAAGTTTTGTGGATATATACCTAGAAGTGGAATTGCTGGGTCATATGGTAGTTGGTGTTTAATTCTTAATGAGGTCAAAGAGAAATATTGTGGGGATACTTGAGCAGATGAAATGAAAGGAGAAGAGGTTGTAATTAAAGCATGAGATGATTGATTTTGGAGGTGGTACGGTTTTCTGGTGATACCAAGTTCTTGGGAAAACCATGGACATATGTGGCTAAGATGTGTGGAAGAAAGTTCACTGGAGATGAATGAAGGAAAATTGAAGGAACTAAGAGACCAGATGTTGGGTGGGGCATCCAAATGGATTCTGGATCACTGCAATAGTCTCTTTCTTAACTGATCTCTTCAATATTTCCCTGGCTCCAATCCATCTGACATAGCATTGTCAGCTCCTACTTGAAAATTTTGTGACTTCCCACTGTTCACTAAACTAAGGAACAAACTTTTTAAAAAATTAGTTTATATTTATTTAAAATTTACCATGTGTCAGGCAGCAAGTAAGCCAAATGCCTTACTTAGATTATCTCATTCAGTCCTTGCAACAACCCCATGAAGGTACTGCTGTCATAATCTCCATTTACAAATGAGGAAACTGAAGCACAGAGAAGGTAAGTAATTGCTCAAGACCACTTAGCAGTGTTAGAGTCAGTATTTACCTTCAGTTTGTGCTCTTATTGTCACGTCACCTGGCCTTTAGAGCCCTCAAGAGTTTGACTCCTAGCTCTCTTTTCAGCTTTGTCCCTTGTTATTGGAGGTGTTTAAGCAGAGACCAGAATTCAAGCAGAGGTTGGACTGCAATTTGCTGAGAATGTTGTCAAGTACCTGCTGGTTCTTCCCAAGGAATACAGAATTCCTTTCTCGGGCTGTCAAAATCCTATCAATTCTTGAATGTCCATGGTGAATACTATCTTCTCCATGGGATTCCCCATCTTACCAACCCCAAATCCTATCAAATGAAGAGCCTTGGGATCTTTTCCTCCTCTAAAGCTCCACAGCATTTTATCCATACTCTTCTAATGGCATTAAGCACATTTATCTTACACTAGATTATACAGTGTGCTTAATTGTTCATTGTTGGCTCAATGAGGGCAGGGATATTTCCCCTAGGGGGACTCAACATACATTGTAGGACAATAGAAAGCCCATGCAGGTTTGTTGATTTACACTGGATTACAAAGTAATGGAGTGATTGGTCCAAGTGTACATATCAAGACAACGGCAGAATCAGGACTAGAATATAGTTCTCCAAACTCCCAAGTCAATACTCTCCCTACAACTTCTTTCGCACCTCTTGGTCCTGCTTCAATTTCTTTCCATACTTTACTTTTGTCCTAGCAAATATACACATACTTGGAAGCCTGTTGACTTTTTCTCAGCACAAACACAAGTGAAAGCCCCCACCGATGGGCACACACACATACAAAAACACATACATTGGGCTGTAATTCAGCTAAGGACATAACTTCAATTCTTTGCCCGATAATACCAACCAACCAACCTGTTGCCATTGAGTTGATTCAGACTCATGGCAACCCCATGTATTGCAGAGTAGAACTGTGCTCCATAGGGTTTTCAAGGCTGTGACATTTTGGAAGCAGAGCACCAGGCCTTTCTTCTGAGGTGCTTCTAGGTGGGTTTGAACTGCCAACCTTTCAGTTAGTAGTAGAGTGCTCAACTATTTGTGGCATCCAGGGACTCCTTCACCCAATAATAGTGCCCATAATCCCAGCCTTCCACTTCTATTCAGCCTTCCTAGCTCACAATTTTTCTTCACTTGAGATCTTTCCCTCACCCCAGTGGCATTCCCCTTCCCCCCACCTGAGATAACATATCTGGTGTCCTTTTGCAATCTCCTTCTTATCCTATCAGGTATTTATAATAGCAAAAAATTGTTACAATAGAGATGCTAAGCAATAGGCCTATTAAGTTAATCACAGGAGACCCAAACCGTGGGATATACTGCATTCATTAAAAATGACAACATAGAAACAAATTAATCTATTAAACCTTATATTGCTCAGTGAAAAATCAGATTAGAGAACAATTTTTATGGCATATCCTCATTCGTCATTTATGTACGTCTGAATGCATACATCACATGTATGTTTTCGTGGAAAAAATCCAAAGGAACTATGTCAAAGTGTTACCTTGTGTGTACTTTCTATTTTTTTCTACAGTGATCATGGATTTAGACTACCTGTGTAATCCTCTGCTCAACAGCTCTCTACCCCCTCCCTCACAAAAGAACAAATCCTATTCTCAGGATAGACTCTGACAAAATCATTACAATGAAGCATAAATTATACGTGAAGCTGAACAAGGATCTCCTTTCAGAGACAGTTTATTTTAATCAGTCAAAAAAGCTAAACCCAATGAAAGTGTCACAAAACAGATGGGAGAGGGCTTTATATCATTTTATTTCATTTTCTTCTGTTATTGGGGAAAGAGCCCCAATCTTTTTGAACGTGTATCTCATCCAGGTAGTCATGGAATGGTGGGCGAAGGCTTTACTATGGCAGGGATGGGGTTGCCTTCTAGACCCAGGCTCTTGGCCCTGGCAGGATGTCTTAGTGCTGAGACTCAGGCTCTGGGCTGATTGTTGTTTTCTCTCTTACAGTTCCTGTTGCTGGAACATCTGGTAAGTGCTCAACCCACATCCTCTCTCTCCCCTAGCTGTGTTCCTCCTCTACCCCAGTGCCCAGCGCACTAGCTAGCAGGAGCCCAGCACCACAGTCAGGAAAGGGCCATTACTCCCAGAGGATGCCCTTCTTCTCTTTCTCTCTTTCCCCTCCTCCCAGGGAGGCAGGTGATGGGCAGCCATGTACACAGGTGCTGCCACCCCATAGGTTCTGTTATGGTGAGACATCACAGATACTGTCACAGAAAATGAGAACGCTGTTCTCTTGTTCAACTGCCTTCCTTTCTCCAGATAAAATCAAGAGCCCAGGAATTTTAATTTCAGCCTCATGCAAAATCACATGACCTGCTTAGGCTGTCCCTGTGTGTTGATAAATTCTCTACTTCACACAGATCTGAGGGCTTCGAGCCCCGTTCCCTTGCACAGAGACGGGGGAGGTGCGTCTGGTTGTAGCTTGGTGCAGTAGGCTTTGCTGGGCTCTTCTTTCTCTGTACCACTCACTTTGCATGGACCTCAGTCCAGCTGAGAGCGCTCCTTAGATTTGCCTTCCAGCCTCTCTCCCTCTTTCTTTATCCTTCTGAGGCTACAGAGTCTCCTCTGTACTTGGTGTGAGGAGGGGCCATCCTGATTTCCTTCCTAACGGATAAGGAATGACACTGGGTCAGAACAGAAAGCCGATGTCTGACTCCCAAGCCTGACATCTCCACCAGATGCACGCACTAGTCCTCGGTCAGCTCTGGAGAAGAGTTTGTTTACAGGGGAGGAGAGTGAGTACCAAAAGAGTATTATGTGTGGGATGTGTATGTGTGTATGTCTGTATGACAGAGACAGAGAGAGACACACACACATATACACACATACAGAGAGAGAATGCGGAAGACAGAAGGAACTGGTTAGTATATCCCTTGGAAATTTTATATATATACATATATATGTGTGTGTGTGTATATGTGTGTATATATATATTCTTCCCTGGGTGATGCATATGGTTAAAGTTACTAATTGAAAGTTTAGCAGTTTGAATCTACCCAGAGGTGCCTTGGAAGAAAGGCCTAGCGATCTACTTCCAAAAGATCACAGCCGGGTGTGCTGTCACAGTATAGGGAGAGCAACTAGGGTCAGATAACAACATATGTATAAATTTTTGTATGAGAGACTAACTTGAATTGTAAACTTTCACTTAAAGCACAACAATCAAAAAAATAAAATAAAGTAAAAACTCCTCAAAAGATCACAGCCATTGAAAAACCCTATGGAGCACAGTTCTACTCTGAAACACGTGGGGTCGTCATGAGTTGGAGTTAACTTGATGTTCTCTGTTTCTGAGTAGTGGAGCTCCCTGAGAGGACTGGGTTCCCGGCCTCATGGTGGGATGTGTGAGTAAGAGGAATTGCCTTCAGTTGCAGAAGAGCTCTGGATCTAGCTCCACTAGCTCCACTGTTGCTGCCCTCAGTAGGACCACAGGTGCTTCTCTGTTTGACATTCAGGGCCTGCTCAGTCTCTTTCCCTCATGCTTCGCCCTCTCTCTGCTCCTCAGCAGATCTCCCAAAGGCAGTAGTGAACCTTGAGCCACCATGGATCAATGTGCTCCAAGGGGACAACGTGACTCTGAAATGCCACGGGGCCAACACCTCTGAGGATAGCTCCACCCAATGGTTCCACAGAGGGGACCTCATCCCAACTCACGTCCAGCCCAGCTACAGCTTTAGCGCCACTGCCCACAGCAGCGGGGAGTACAGGTGCCAGACAGGCCAGACCAACCTCAGCGACCCCGTGCAGCTGAGTGTGTTTTCCGGTCAGTGGAGGGCAACCTGGGGAGGGACTGGGAGGATAAGGAGAGATGCAATCTGCTTACATTGCAGAGGTTTTCAGGAAAGGGGGTGGGGGAGCTGTTTACTGGAAAGCGCCACTGTGAGTTGTTGGAAGCAGTTTTTGCCCACTCATTTCCCTTTTTGTGTGTGGCAGGGGTGGAAGTTTCTATGATATTCCTCAGAATATATTAATGACTGTTTCTGCCTCATCCTGATAAAGAAAGATCACAAGACCACAAACATGTGAGAGAAGCAGAAGGAAATCCCTACTCCATAAAAACTCTTCCATTCTAATGGCAGAGTAGAAAAATACAAGGTTGGCATCAGACTACAACTGAATCCAGCTCTGGAAGTTACTGGCCATATAATCATGATGAATTTATTTAACCCTTGAGTCTCAGTTTCCTTGTCTCCTCCCTCACCCCTTCTTCATGCTCTTACAGTGCTCAGTGCTCTTCTGTGCCTTGTCTTTCTCTTCCACCAGACTGTGGGCAACTTGAGGTTAAAGTTGTGTCTCATCCATCTTTGTATTTCCAGCCCCTGACGTGGGGCAGAGCTTAATAAATGTTTGTTGAACAGATCAAAGGTTTCCTAAAGCTCCTGGCACAAAGTAAGTTCTCCATAAAGAAAAGCTATGATGTGATGAAGGTGGACATTGTCATTATTCCTCTTCCTTTGGTCCCATCCCCTTGCCTGATTCCCAGATTTTCCTCAGAAGTGTGCTTCAGGTTGATTACATGTCTGTGACACTACTGCTTTCAGATAAAGACTGATGACACTAAGCTCCGTATTTACTAACATTTATCAAGTAAGCTAATGTTTGTTGGATGTCCATGACTTTCTCCTATCCCCGAAGGCACAAGTCTCTGCTGTCTGTGCTCTGTGTCCTCACGTGTTGTCTCTTCTGTGGACTGGATCCCTACTCTCATTCCCTCAGGGAAGGACTGCACTTCGTGGGTCTCTTGTGTCCTTCCTGCAGAGGCGTGTTGGGTGCAGGACAGGGCTCCACCTGGGTTCATCTCCTGCCTTCTTCCAGGAAAGAAAAGAAAAGATGAGCATATCCTGAGCAACTACTATGTCCCAGGAACTATTGTAGATGCATAGTATTATTATGTCCATTTTCACAGATGAGGAAACTGAGGCTCAAAACAACCAAACTAGTTGCCATCGAGTCAATTCCGACTCATGGCAATCCCATGTGTGTCAGAGTAGAACTGTATTCCATAGAGTTTTCAAAGTTGTGACCTTTCAGAAGCAAATTGCCATGCCTTTCTTCTTAGGCATCTCTGGGTGGGTTCAAACCACCAACCTTATGGTTAGTAGTCGAGTGTTTAACATTTGAGCCACCCAGGGACTCCAGAGTTAAATAACTTTCCCAATATTACTGAGCTCATAAATGATGACATCAGAATTAGAGACCAATACTGTCTGATTCCAAACTTGACCTTCTTCCACCACACATCATATCCTACCAGTAAGGCTGGTCTGGATCTCAGAGTTGAGCCAAGACCTCCCGGGTCCTGTGGTCTCTCTGTGTCTTTCAGATTGGCTGCTGCTGCAGACCCCTCGCCTGGTGTTTCAAGACGGGGAGACCATTGTGCTGAGGTGCCACAGCTGGAAGAACTGGATTCTGTACAAGGTCACGTTCTACCAGAATGGAAAATCCAAGAAGTTTTTTGGTAAAAATTCCAACTTCACCATCCCACAAGCAAACCACAATCACAGTGGAGATTATCACTGCACGGGAATGATAGGGCAAAATCTCCAGTCATCACAGCCTGTGACCATCACTGTCCAAGGTATGGGGAACTTTGTCAAGATGTAGGGAGGGAGAATGGTTGCAAAACTCAAAGAATGTAATCAAGGTCACTGAACTGTCCATGTAGAAACTGTTGAATTGGTGTATGTTTTGCTGTGTATATTCTCCACAACAACAGAGAACCAGTAGCAATGAGCAAAAAAAAAGATATAGGGATGGGGAAGAGAGGATGGACATTTAGGGCTAAAGTCATATGGGCCTACCCAGAGGTCTCAGAAATGCCACAGCAAAATTGGACACTGAGCCAAACTGTCAAGGAGAAAAGATATGGCGGCCTTGCTAAGTATTGGCCAGGGGCAAGATAGGGGCCAGAGCTCTCATGCTCTGTATCTAGGCTCCTGAGTTCTTCTGCTTCCAGGTGATGGGTGACAAGGTTATTGTCCCTCTTTGAAATGCAGGCTCCCTACTAAGGACAACAACAGGACTCTCTCAGCAGTTCCCTAAGCTCCTGGACCTTTTTAAGAGATGAGGTTTGCCTGGTCTTTTCTCATGCCTCACGTTATGCCCATTCACTCCTAAAGGCTTGGCATGTCCTGGACAGTTCAAGGCTGTGCTTGGTATAGCAGTTGTGCCTCCTTCAAAGGGAGGCCTCAGGGCCCCCCCTCCCTGCTGCCCCGAGGCTAAGAGGAACCGTTTTCTCTGCCTCTGCACGCTCACCAGTGTGCCAGGGCCTTATTAGTTTAGTGGAGACTCCTGGGTATAGGGCGGCACAAGCCCAGCCACAGAAACCCTGTGCAGGTAGGGTTTAGAGGAAGAAGAGAATGTTGTACTTGTGAGTGACCCAGACACAAAACAGCTACAGGTGACAAGCACTGGGGCATAGTATTGGAGAAGGATGGGTGGGGTGGAGGTGGGACAGGAATAGTGCTGCCTGTCCTGAGGTCTTTCTCCCCCAGGGTCTAACAATGTGAGGAACTCTTCACTGGTGATGACTATGAGGAACTCTTCAGGCTCTTTACTGGTGATGGTTGCCGCTGTGGTCTCAGGGATTTCTGTAATGGCCGTTGTTGCTGCTGTATTAACCATATCCTACCTCAGACGAAAGCAGATTTCAGGTTTGTGCTTCCCTTTGGCCCTTCTTGTTATCATTTCCCACTTAGGCAAGACCCTAACCCTAACCTTTGCCAGAACTTCTGTCTTTGGACTAGATAGTTCTTAGCATTCAGATATAGCTCCATATTTCATTCATTCAACAAACATTGAATAAACTTGCTTTTGTGTTAAGCACTGTGCTAAATGCTGTGGGTGATACCAAGATAAAGAAATCCAGTCCCTGCCCTCAAAGAGTTCATAGTGTTATGGGGAAGACAGAATCACAAATAGATAATTTAATAAGATGGGGTAAGAACAATGATCCAGTTGCCATTGAGTCAATTCGAACTCATAGTGACCTTATAGCACAGAGTACAACTGCCCCACAGAGTTTCCAAGGAGAACCTGGTGGATTTGAACTGCTGACTCTTTGGTTAGCAGCTGTAGCTCTTAACCACTATGCCACCAGGGTTTCTAAGAATAATAATAGAGAAATGCAAAGGCTATGATAGGTGTACAGAGGAGGCCAGACAACCCAGCATGTGTGGGGCAGTTAGAGATGGTTTCATGGGGAGGAAGTATAGTATAGTGATTGAAGCACACTTACTGGAGTCAGATTGCCTGAGTTCAAATCACAGCTCTGTAGCTCACCAGCTGTGTGACGTTGGGTGAGTTGCTTAACCTCTCTGTGTTTCAGTTTCCTCATCTGGAAAACGGGGACACTAATAGAATCTACCTCACAGGGTTGTTGGGAAGATGAATGAAGCTAGTGCATGAACAAGTAGTGCCTACCTGTTGCCATCACATCAATTCCGACTCATAGTAACCCTATAGGAGTAACCCAGAGTAGAACTGCCCCAAAGGGTTTCCAAGGCTGTAATCTTTATGGAAGCAGACTGCCACATCTTTCTCCTGTGGGGCGGCTGGTGGGTTTGAACCACTGACCTTTCAGTTAGCAGCTGAGCACTTAACCACTGTGCCACCAGGGCTCCAAACAGGGCCTAGTACATAGTAAATAGCACACAAGTATAAGCTGTTAACCATCATAGAGGAGGGGATAATTGAGGGTAGCAGTTAGGCAGGCAAAGAGGACTGGAAGAGCATTCCAGACATGGGAAACAAAAGCATGGAAATGAGGAACAATGTGGCTAGGACAGGGGCTGGGGGAGGAGTAAGGAGGGCATTGTAAGCAGTTTGATGCTGTCAAAACAATACATCCTGAGGCAGAAAGAGAGGAGAGATGAGGCTAGGTGGAGTCGGGGAGACCACCAAGGCCACCTTATGGAACTTGAGCTTTATTCCAAAGGTGATGATGGCAAGACTGTAAGCTTCCTAAGGGCAGAAACCATCTCTCTCTTTTTCTCCCTAGTTTTCCCAGCACCTATTACAGTACTTGGCACACAGCAAGTTGCTAATAAATACTCCTTCACTGACTGACCAGCTAAAGAACTTTACTCTTAAAAGGCAGCTTTGTCCCTCCTTAGTATTAATGTAAAAGAGCTGAGGGAAGAGGGAGGATACCATAGAAATCCAATAAGAAAATAATCTCAGGGGGGAATACTAAATAGACAATAGATAAGTGGTAATTTTGGTGAAGGGTAAGACAGTACACAATAACGGAGAAGTCAGCACAACTTGTACAAGGAAGGGTCATGGAAGCTCCATAGACACATCCAAACTCCCTGAGGCACTGAATTGCTAGGCAGAGGGTTGTGGGGACCATGGTCTCGGGGAATGTCTAATTCAATTGGCATAACATAGTTTATAAAGAAAGTGTTCTACATTCTACCTTGGTGAGTAGCATCTGGGGTCTTAAAAGCCTGTGAGCGGCCATCTAAGATACTCCACTAGTCTCACCCCTTCGGGAGCAAGGGAGAATGAAGAAAACAAGATACAAGGGAAAGATTAGTCCAAAGGCCTCCACCAGACTGAGTCCAGTACAACTGGATGGTGCCCGGCTACCAACACTGACTGCTCTGACAGGGATCACAGCAGAAGGTCCTGGACAGAGCTGGAGAAAAATGGAGAACAAATTTCTAACTCACAAAAAAAGACCAGACTCTGGCCTGACAGAGACTGGAGAAACCCCGAGAATATGGCCCCAGGACACCCTTTTAGCTCAGTAATGAAGTCACTCCCAAGGTTCACCCTTCAGCCAAAGATTAGACAGCCCCATGAAACAAAACAAGACTAAAGGGGCACAAGAGCCCAGGGACAAGGACTAGAAGGCATGAGGGGACAGGAAAGCTAATAATAGGGAACCCAAGGTCAAGAAGGGAGAGATTGACATGTTGTGGGGTTGTTAACCAATGTCATAAAACAATATGTGTACTAACTGTTTAATGAGAAACTATTTGTTCTGTAAACCCTCATCTAAAGTACAATTAAAAACAATTTAAAAAGAAAATAATCACAACTCACAATTCCTGATGAGAGAAAGAATGCTAAAGACATTGGGACACAGACAAAGTAAAGGAGAGAAAGAAAGAAGAAGAAGAAGAGAAAAAAAAAAAAAAAAGACTCGAAGGCACAGAGAAAGAGAAAATAATAATACTAATACCTCACAGCAAACTTTGCAATTGGTTCGTAGCCAGGACCTCAGTTACTGATAATAGAGGGATTTGGAGAGGCTATTGAGAGGAGGAAAGAGGTGTTTTTTTTTTTTTAAATAAGACAGAGCAAGTCAAAGGAAGATGCAATGGAGTGGCCTCTCCAACACTCCCAGGAGTCCCCACAATTCCAGATTTCTTTCTCTCTGGAGCAGGCCATTTATAGGCCAGGGCAGTCCCTGGGCAGTGGGTGCTTGGGAGTGGGGAGGAGAGGCGGCGTCTGTGAGAGGGAAAGGTCTATGTTCGTTCTAACCCAGTCCTGCCCTTGGTCCTTCATCCTGAGAAGTCAGGCCCTACCCCATAATCCTACTAACCTCCTATGTGCCCCTCCTAGCTCACCCAGGAAACCCTGAACGCAGGGAAATGGGAGAGACCCTCCCTGAGCAACCAGGTGAGTGCAGCTCCCACTTTGGTGGCCCAGTGGCATCCCACCCAGGGCTGCCAGATGGATTGGAGCCAGCAATAAGTGGCTTGTGTGGGTTCATCTGGGACCACAGGAGAGGGAGGGGCAGTGGGAGGAGGGCAGGGTACCAAATCACTTGGTCAGCTCTGAGTCTAACTCCTAGGCCTACGGAGAACCTCGCTAGAGATGAGGTGATGAGGAACATCTGTGCCTAGATAGCGAGAGGCAGGCTGTGTCCAAATTTCTGGGACCAGGAAGGCTGGGGGTATGTCCAGAGCAGGAAACTAGAGATATTTGGGTCTTTCTGTGGGGCTTTGGCACAGCTGGCAAAGGTAGGGGTTAGGAGTTGTAAAACTGAGGCAAATGGGATTAAGGGGGTAGGACTCTAAGAGGGAAGGAGAAGGAGGCCTAGGAAAAAACCCTAGATTTCTGAGGAATCTGTTTCTGTGGAGAAATACAGGTGCAGGTGGTAGGGCTTAGTACTTAGTGGAACATTAAGAGGTGATTTCGGCCTGAGAAAGTTCTTAGCTTTACTTTGAGGCAAAGCTTGGCTTTAATGCCCTCTTGTGTAGGTTTAGTGGATATGGGCCTGGCTCTAACTGTCATCATCATTCAAGGGAATCTTGAGGAAGCCACTTTCCTCGTGGAATTTAGTCATCCCCCTGAGGAAATGAGTGGGTTGGCCTGGATAAACTCTAAGAACTTTCATGTCTGAAGTTCTCAAGAGTCAGTGACTGTAAAACCCCTGGCCCAGATGGGAGTGTGTAAAAAGAGTAGGAGTTGTCCAGGCAACTTCCTGATTCTAGTGAAAGCCAAAGCATGGAAGAACCTGGAGCTTTCTCTGGCGGCTCCTATGGCAGCAGAAACAAGAAGGAAAAAGAGGCCTTTGAGGACTCCACCTCAGGTGGCTGGAGTATGACTCAGAGCAGAACCAACAGATTTGAGAGCTTGAGCAAAGTAGCACCTGCCTAGCTGCGCTTTGAGCAAAGCCTCTATGTCCCTTGGCCAGGCTGAGTGGAGATACGGGCCTGGGTCTGCCCTGTGACCAAACCAGATATAGAAAAGTCCAAGCACAACTGGATTAGCTGCCTTGATGTTTGGTTCTGTCTACACTGGTAGAAACATATTTCACAAGGCATTTACACAGCCAGGCACGGGGGCTGCTGGCAAACGGGGCCTCTTTGTGTCCAGGGGATAAGGGAAGAGACTAGATGCATTGTCTTGGGCTCCTCGCCAGCTTCCTGAGGGGTGCTGATTTGCAGATACTGACACTGCTTTTCACACTGGCAAAGTGAAAGAGTTTATTGCTAAAAAAAATGCAGGGAATTTGGTGTGTTTTGAATATTTACCCGAGAAAGTTCTTTATTTCCCTTCCTTCTCTCTCTGTCTTTCTTTCTTTTTAATGTCATAGAGTAAGTATCAGATTCTTCAAAGTTCCAACAAAAATGCACTACATTTGGCTGTGGAAATTGTCCACAGCCCTCTCTCCCTCAAGTTTGTGGTCAGCAAAAATCTGGGTTTTACTTCATTCTGATGCTGCTATCTCTTCTTCCCCAATATCTCAGATCCCTGAAGCTACCTGATTTGCTTCCAGGAGAGCTCAGCAATTCTCCAAAAGGAATGCAGCATTAATGACTACTTTCCTTTGCCAGTGCGGCCAGTAGGGGATGCTGTGTGTGGGATACAGATGCTGGGTCTGTGTGGTGAATGAGGCCATATTTACTCAGATTGTGGCCTACAGGCCTGGCTTGGGATTGGTGAGGTCCTCTCCTTAGGTCAGGATTGGATTTTGATTTTGTGGCCACAGCAGCAGCGTACATAGGCCCTCTTCTACAGCAGTGCCCTGGCTGATCTCTATTCTTTTTGCCCACAGCCAGTTTCCCTAATGCTGAAGAAGCTGCCAAAGTTGAGGTGAGCCATTCCAGCCATCTCCTCTTCCTTCTCCCTCTTCGCTCTCCCCTGCTTCCTCTTCTGTTGCTTTCCTTCCTGTGACTTCTCTGTGAATCCCCATTGCTCATTTCTGCTTTCTCTAGGCTGAGAAGATAGTCACCTATTCACTTCTCAAGCACCCAGAAGGTCCAGAGGAAGAAATAGGGCCCCCGGATTACGAGAACTGCCCTTAGTCTCTACTGTCTTGCCCTGGGACTTGGAGAAAAGAATCAGAGAGGCAAGGATCTGGTGTCTTCTGGCCTGAATTTCCCTTGGGGAGGACAAGGGGGTGCTGCAGTCCCAAGGAAGGGGAAGGACTCTTTCAGAGTTATCTACTTGAGTTCTGAAGCTCTCTGATCTGAAAGTCACTAACAATATGGTCCCAGATGATTTACTGTATTCATTCCTTCTGTGCCTCAGCACTTGTCATCATCAAGACCCTTCTGTTTAGACAACCATACAACCAAGAAAAATAGTTTTATTAAATGATAGTATAGGTGAAGGGAAGGACAGCACACAATACAGGGGAAGTCAGCACAACTGGACTAAAGCAAAAGCTAAGACGTTTCCTGAACACGAGCAAACACTTGGAGGGACAGAGTAACTGGCGCTGGGGTCTGGGGACCATGGTTTCAGGAGACATCTAGATCAATTGGCATAGCAAAGTTTATTAAGAAAATTTTCTGCATCCCACTTTGGTGAGTAGTGTCTGGGGTCTTAAAAGCTTGTGAGTGGCCATCTAAGATGCATCAATTGGTTCCAACCCACTTGGAGCAAAAGAGAATGAAGAACACAAAAGACACAAGGAAAATATTAGCCCAAGAGACAAAAGAGCCACATAAACCAGAGAATCCATCAGCCTGAGGCTGGAAGAACTAGATGGTGCCCAGTTACCATCAATGAACGCCCTGACAGGGAACACAACAGAGAGTCCCTGTCAGAGTGGGAGAAAAGTGTGGAGCAGAACTCAAATTCATGTAAAAAGACCAGACTTAATGGTCTGACTGAGACTGGAGGAACCCCCGAAGCCATGCCCCCAGATGCTATGTTAACCCAGAACTAAAACCATTCCTGAAGACCACTCTTCAGACAAAGATTAGACTGGACTATAAAACATAAAGTAATACTCATGAAGAGTGTGCTTCTTAGGTCAAGCAGACACATGAGACCAAACGGGCAGCTCCTGTCCCGAGGCAGGATGAGTAGGCAGGAAGGGACAGGAACTGGTTGAATGGACACAAGAAACCCAGGGTGGAAAGGGGGAGAGTGCTGTCATATTATACGGATTGCAACTAATGTCACATAACAATATGTCTACAAATTTTTGTATGAGAAATTAGCTTGAGCTGTAAACTTTTACCGAAAGCACAATAAAATAAAAAAAAAAAGATAGTAGCAACAAGGCAAATGTTTATGTTACAGGTTGTTGTTGTTAAGCTGCCGTCAAGTTGAGAATATATGTAAGTATATATATGATCTCAGAAATGTTAAAATAGACTAACATATACCAAAATATTAAAAGCGGTTGTTTTAGGAGGAATTATCAGTAGTTTTTATTTTCTTTTTTTTTTTCTGTAAAGATCATGTATTGTTTTTATAATATATTATAAAAATTTACGTTTTAAAGTCTGTGTTGGTTGCAGGGTAGGCTGACCTATCTGGGCTCTGTTTCTCTTCCATGATAAGAATTTTGGGAAGGTAGTGATGGATAAAAGGCGGGGGAGAGGGGAGATAGGAATTTGGAGGGGAGGGTGAGTGCACCTCTTCTTAAAACTGAATACTCTCCTCCAGTAAACCTGTACTCTTGTCTCCTTGTCTCCTCCCACAGCAAATAAAACAATTGCTTTGTCTTGCTAACACAAGTTCTCAGGAGGCCAAGCTTAAGATGAGTCACCAGTGGGAAATGCTGTCTTCTGGCTCTGCTATTCTCCCATTAGAGTTACCAGAAGGAGAAGAGTTTCTTGGAGAAGTCATCCTTGGCAGCTTTCTTGCAGGATGCCTTTGCTGGATGCCTGTGGAGAGGGTTTGTGTTCCTGGAACTCTAGTACAGCATCATTGTGCAACACTTTTCTTGCTTTCAGGATTCAACAGCTTCCTCTGTTAGGTAGTTTCCATAACTTTCTATGATACTCACGTTTTATAGCCCCACAATCAGCTTTCATGCTCTCATATTGTAATAATAATAAAGAATGGTAATTACAATTGCTGGGTTACTGAGGGCCTGTTTTGTGGTAAACTCAGTGCGTTGGATTTAGAGAGTTTAAGATTCGTAAAGTTGAACCTTTTTTCATATATTTATTAGTCAATTGTATTTCTTCCTTTGTGATTTCTCTCTTCATATATTCTTTGCCCAATTTTAAAGTAGCAATGTATGTCCTTTATTTATAAATGACGTTGTTGTTGTTGTTGTGTGACGTCAAGTCCATTTTTAACTCATAGCAAACCCATGTGACAAAGTAGAACTACCACATAGGTTTTCTTGGCTGTAATTTTTATGAAAGCAGATCACCATGTCTTTCTCCCCCTGAGCCACTGGGTGAATTCGAACTACCAACCTTTCAGTTAGCAGCTGAGGGCTTAACCATTGTGCCACAAGGGCTCCTTATAAGTTACGTAGTAGTAGCAACTTATTTCCTTTTATTTACTTGTAAATTATTTTACTACCCAAATAATATATTCTTCATATAAAAAAAAAGTACAAGTAAGCAAAAAAGGTCATTTAAATTACTTATAAACCCTCAGAATAGACATGATCAATGCTAACATTTAAAGCATATTGTGATGGTTAAGGTTGTGTGTCAACTTGGCTGGGCCATGATTTTCAGTGGTTTCGCAGTCATATAATGTTGTGATCACTTCCACGATGAGATCTGATATAATGTGATCACCTCCATGATGGGATCTGCTGTGAGTAACCAATCAGTTGAAAAAGAGTTTCCTTAGGTGTGTGTTCTGCACCGAATGTAAGTGGACATTCTGGCAAGGCTCGTGGGCTTTTTGCTTGTGCAGGATCCTGCAGCTAGCTCCTGTTCATCTGACCTCTAGTTCTTGGGACTTGAGCTAGCAGCTTACCTGCAGTCTTGCCTGCCAAACTTGAGATTCATCAATCTTCGAAGCCTCTGAACAAGAGCCCTGCTCTCTGGCCTGCCAATCTTGGGTTCACCAGCCCCTGAGGCTACATGAACCAGGAGAAACGTCTATCCTGACCCACGGACTCGGGATGTTCCAGCCTCTACAACCGTGTCAGCCATTTCCTTGATATAAATCTCTCTATCTATAGTTACATGCTTTACTGGTTTTACTTCTCTAGAGAACCCAGCATATCAATCTACATCCTGCCCATGGCAATATGTATCATATAAGTATATGTATTTTTAAAAATTGGATCACGTTATCTATTTTTACATGTTCATAAATACATGTGGGCCAAAATTCATGCTCATTGTAAAAGTTCAAATAATACGGAAATATCAAGAGTAAAAAGTGAAAGTTCTCTTTGCCCTCAACAACCCCTTCCCCTGGCCTGTTCCCCTCTCTGTGGTAACCACTTGTGATGGTTAAGCTTGTGTGTTAACTTGGCTGGGCCGTGATTCTCAGTGGTTTGGCAGTTATGATGTGGTTTGGCAGCTATGTAATGATGTAATCACCTCCATAATGAGATCTAATGTAATGTAATCACCTCCATGATGAGATTTGTAGTGAACGGCCAATCAGTTGAAAGGGAGTTTCCTTGGGGGTGTGGCCTGCATCCAATATAGGTGGACTTTCTGGAGAAGCTGGTTTTTGCTCACACTAGAACCTGCAGCTGGCTCCTCCTCATCTGACCTCTGGTTCTTGGGACTTGAGCTAGCAGCTTGCCTGCCAATCTTGAGATTCGTTGATCATCACAGCCAGCTACAGTGGAAGTCCATGTTGCTGGGCCCATGCATAACCTCCATCCCTACCACCATGGCCACTTTGTTCATGAGCCCATTTAGCAATGATGGGAGTAGCTGGGGAAAGAGGATGGCTGGTTTCCACAGAATGGGTCATCCTATTCACTTAATTATTAAAGTCCTCCTCTGCTGAGATCACCCTTTGGTGAGCATTCACATGAGGCACAAATATCTTCACTTCTTTGGCCCATTCAGAGAGGTATATCCATATACCTCTTCCCCATAAATCCTCATCTCCAATTTTCCAATCATTTTCCTTCCAAGTCCCTGACCATCCAGCCAAACCGTTGGCCACAGCCCATGAATCAGTATACCATCACACATCTAGCCATTCCTCCTTCCAAGCAAAGTGAACAATCAGGTGCACTGCTCAAAGTTCTGCCCATTGGGAGGATTTCCCTTCACCAGTGTCTTTCAGGGGGTCCAAGAAAGGGACTGTAGTGCTGCCCCTGTCCACTTTCAAATGGTGTCTCATATCGTAAAGAACCATCTGTAAACCAGGAATGAGTTTTCTCTTCTTCAGTCAACTGATCATAAGGAACTCCCCATGAGGTCATAGGTGCAGACTGGGAGACGGAAGTAATGTGACAGGAGTAGAGATCATGGGCATTTGGGCCACTTCCTCATACAACTTACTTGTGCCTTCAGCTCCTGCTCGGGCCCAATCTTGTATATGTTACGTCCATTTAATGATGGAGTTCTGTTGTGCATGCACAACTTTATGACTCTGTGGGTCAGACAACACCTAGTTCATGATGGGCAGCTCAGGCTGCATGGTGACTTGATGGCCCATGGTTAAGCATTCAGTCTCTACTGAACACTTGGCCCAGTAGCAAGCCAAAAGCTATTTCTCAAAAGGAGAGTAGTTATCCACAGATGATGGCAGGGCTTTGCTCCAAAATCCTAAGGGTCTGTGCTGTGATTTACCAATAGGGGCCTACCAAAGACCCCAAATGTTATCTCTATCTGCCACTGACACTTCAAGCACCATTGCATCAGCCGAATCATATGGCCCAAGTGGCAGAGTGGCTTGCATGGCAGCCTGAACCTGTTGCAGAGCCTTCTCTTGTTCTGGGCTGCACTCAAAACTAGCAGTTTTTGGAGTCACTTGATAAATAGGCCAGAGTAGCACACCCAGATGAGGAATATGCTGCCTCCAAAATCCAAAGAGGACCACTAGGCGTTGTACTTCCTTTTTAGTTGTGTGAGGAGCCAGATGCGGTAACTTTTCCTTCCCTTTAGAAGGAATATCTCAATATAGCCTACACCACTGGACCCCTAGAAATTTCACTGACATGGAAGGGGTCTGAATTTTTGTGGGATTAATTTCCCACCCTCTAGCACACAAATGTTTTACCAATAAGTCCAGAGTCATTGACACTTCTTCCTTACTAGGTCCAATCAGCATAAAGTCATCAATGTAAGGGACTAGTGTGACATCTTGAGGAAGGGAAAGGTGATCAAGGTCCCTGCAGACTAAATTATGACCTAGGGCTGAAGAGTTGATATAGCTCTGAAGTAGGAAACTGAAGGTGTATTGCTGGCATGTCAGCTAAAAGCAAACTACTTCTGATGGTCCTCTGAAACACATATGGAGAAAAGGGCATTAGCCAGATCAGTAGCCACATACTAGGTACCAGGAGATGTACTAATTTGCTCAATCAGTGAGACTACATCTGGAACAGCAGCTACAATTTGATTCATGACTTGGTTAAGTTTTTGATAATCCACTGTCATTCTACAAGATCCATCTGTTTTTTGTACGGGCCAAATAGGCGTGTTGAATGAAGATGTGGTGGGAATCACCACCCCTGCATCCTTCAAGTCCTTGATGGTGGCAGTCATCTCTGCGATCCCTCCAGGAATGTGGTATTGCTTTTGGTTTACTATTTTCCTAGGTAGAGGCAGTTCTAATGGCTTCCACTTGGCTTTTCCTACCATAATACCCCTTACTCTATTTGTCAAGGATCCAGTGTGGGGATTCTGCCAGTTGCTGAGTATATCTATTCCAATTATGCATTCTGGAACTGGGGAAATCACTACAGGATTGGTTCAGGGACCCACTGGATGTACTGTGAGATGGACATGAGCTAAGACTCCATTAATAACCTGACCTCCATATGCCCCCCCTCTGACTGACGGACCACAGTGATGTTTTGGGTCTCCTGGAATTAGTGCCGATTCAGAGCCAGTATCCAGTAATCCCTGAAAAGTCTGATTATTTCCTTTTCCCCAATGAACAGTCACTCTCGTAAAAGGCCGTAGAACCCTTTGTGGAAGGCTGGGAGAAAGATTAACAGTAAAAAATTTTTGCAATGTATTGGAATCCTTCCTCAAGGGGACCTGGCCTCCCCTTCATTCAAGAGGTTGTGGGTCTTTAAACTCGCTCAAATCTGGGAATTGATTGAGGGACCATGACTCTCTATTCTAGCAATTCGAGTTAGACTGCTGTTCACTTGACCTAGAATTTATCTGTTTGTATAGATCAAGTAAATCTTTAGTAGATTTCCTATCTATTTCATTCCTAGGGACACCATGACTAAGTAGCCAACGCCATAAGTCCATACGAGTCAGACTATTCTGATTACTGCTTTGACTCCGATGTCCACCACTGTAACCACACCCACCTTGTCTTTGTCCACTGAGTGCCGCCACTTGGCCCCTACCACCACAGGCTCCAATCAGCCCAATCGTAGTTAGGTGTCTTAGTTCAGTTAGGGAAGTTCCCACTGTCAAATCTAACTTAAATAAAATAGCAATCACAGTAGTCTTCAAGGATGCTGGGGCTCCCTTCACAAATTTGTTCCTCACCATTGTAGTAAAAGGTATGTCCTCCGGGCTCTCCATGTGTGGGTCTGTGGGTCTAACCTGATAAATCCACTTTAGCATGCCAATTTCCTTAAGCTTTTGGATACCTTTTTCTACGGTATACCACAGCAGGTCTGGTACTTCAACTTGATTTAGTGTAGGCCACCTTGTAATCCATGCTTCAGCAACCCAGCCAAGTAAACTATTAGATCCTTTCCTAACTTCTCAAGCTGAAACATTGAATGAAGATTCTGTGCTTAGTGAGCCCATATCAATAAACTCAGACTGATCCATGCTTATGTTCCTTGCACCATTATCCCACAACCTTAATAACCATTCCCACACATATTCTCTAGGGTTTTGTATGTACATATTAGAAAAGTCAAATAGTTCTTTCAGAGTGTGGCATACCTCCTCCTAGTTTACACTTTGTACTTCAGCTTTTGGGGCTCTCTGGGACTTAAGTCTA